CATGATGATCGAGCATAACCAACTTACACTTCGAATAAAGTCGTTGGTAAATAGCTACACCAGTGTCAGACATCACAATGATTATATTACTAGTACGCCGCCACAGTTTCAGACCGTCACAACATTTTACTGATTTCCAATTCTCGTGCTTCTTTATCCTCTTCTTCGTCCATGGTGAGGTGTTCTACGAGCGACGAGGGAATGTGATCTTCGATCCACCGCAAGTCATCCTTAAAACAAAGAATTATAAGGAGGATTTGGCATATACTTCTTTCAGAATTTCCAAATAGAACGCTTCGGGGCTCCTACACGGACCTATATGTTTACAGCTCCACGCATTTCCGAGTTCTATAGTCAGAATGAATTACCATGGGAATATTTATTTTCGGCAGGGCCGCCACTGCATACTAATACCAAAGCGATGCATTCTGCTTGCTGCACCGTTCGTTTTGAAGAGCAGAAAAATGATATCAGCAAGTTCACCTGAATTTTATGATCCTCACGTTCCCTTTCCCTTTGACGACGAACCTCGGCACCACTTCCAGATTCACGCTGTTTGAGCATTTCAAAACCAGGAGCGGATGCATTGAAAATTTCATCTGAAGTAAGAAAGAGTACGGCATAATCTGAATACTGCTCCAGATCCACATACGATTGATTAGCCGACCTTGATCGTTCTCATCTTCACTGTCATCCAAAAGGGGGGTGAAGGCGTAGCGCTGATTGTTCACTGATGGGCGCCAAAGAACCACAATAACAACAAGTATGAAGCAAAACAATACATGCCAAAATGCAGTGTCTATCCATCTGAAAAAGTAAGAAAGTTCGCTAAAACATTTTACAAACGGTGCAAGTTTTCAATCGAGTGCTACCTCTATGAAAAGCTATTTAGAAATACAATAAGATGCCCTGGAACATTTTGAGACTTCCCATATATCACCGCTATAAAGTTACAGATCTTGTGAACAGAAAAGAGAAAAACTATAGTGCCCACTCCATGCATACCATATAAGTGTAATGAGTCTGAAGTCGCCACCTACACGAGGAAGTAAAGACGAAATAAGATCTGAGATACGATAACTGGCATCGAAAGAAACCATCGAAAAGAAACAAATTAGGGACTAGCTAGATCTGCCTTCAGACATTTCTTACAGATCCGGAAACTTCACTTCGATTGTCAAATCACAGGCTCATTTCACACCAAGTAAAGCGACTTACATACAATAGATAGACTATTGTAACATATTTCTGTCCACCTTGATGAAAAAGTTATTCACCTAAGAGTACTCAATGAAAATATTCGTCCGAATCGAGAAGATTTTCAATGAGTACTTCATAGGTGGATATCTTTTTCATCAAGGTGGCTTTCAGCAACTCCCATCTCAAATGCGAGAGCACCGATATTTCTCTGATGCGCAGGACCATAACTTACTACCAACCGAGCTAATACAACTTCGTACCACCCGGCTACTATGTTGGCTACCTTGATCGCTATTCCAAATACTCAGATCGAAAACCATAGATGAATTCATGTGCCGATATTACGACCATGTAGTAGTCCTGATGATGACTCACTACTTCGTGAGATTTTCTTCAGGCTATTTGAGCATTGAATGTGACCTCATATGATCCTCAATTTGGCAAACAATCAGATCGGAGCCGTCCTCTACCCGCATTATATTTGCCCAAACTAAAAATAGCCATGGATCAGTTGACATTTTCACGGACATATCGTAAGTCTTGTGATCTGAGTTAGACATACGCGCAATCCTCACTCTCAAAGGGTTTTCAACAAACGAATTCACCTTTGGGACTGTCACCCTAATTATGTCTAGGCAATATATCATTGCGCAATTCAGATAACTAACAACGAAGGAAATTTGTTTCTTTTTTTTTTTTTTTTTTTTGGGGGGGGGGGGGGGGCAAAGAAATACGAAAGCGCTCAAGAGAAAAGTTCTTTTCACTCTCGTTTTTTCGTCTTTTCGTCTTGCTTCCTTATTATTATACTTTTTATATTTTACTCCATATTTGTGATACACTGCTCAGGCTTTCGAAAATTATGCGTCGAGTTGCGATGCATTGTCGTCAACACGTTTACGTCATGAAAAAAGCATAGAAATGTTCTGAACGCAATCGAAACAGAACCTTTCAGGAGCGGGGAACATGAAAAACTATCAACGTACAGTTCTTTCCAGTCCTTGAGACATGTAGGGAAGATATGGTACAACAAACTCCACATCATAAAGAACACGGATGCGATAGCTGCGAATACCAAGGTGTTCATAAAATGACGATAAACGGTAAGTTTTACCTGAAATTCTAACGCGAGTTACGAAATTCTGCTACAATCGAATAATGGGGCAGAAATACGGTATTCTTACCATATTTTACAATATAATGAACAAAACATGTTATGCTCGAGATGATTCAAGCGCACAGTGACACTATTCACCTCATTCCTCCTCAATTTGAGCGTTCGCATAGTTGAACCAAGCGAAGTGAAAATCCAGTAGAATATCACCATCTCCGTGATCACCAAAGGAAGTGCAGCGAACTGCTTCTGTTTAGCAGCTTCAACGTGATTCTGTAATTAAAATGGCACAGCATGCTCGTACTTAGGGTTAGAGGCCAACCTAACGATGGTGCGATTAGATGAGATTGAATTCATTACATGAGCATTAACCCATGCTTCCAAACATCCCATGAAAGTAACGATGTGGGTGCAGGCATTTGAAAACTCAAAAGGAGGTTTCAGTCATGTTGACGGTCAAAAGAAAACAGAACTAAATCGCTAATACACGAAAAAAACAGAACTGCTTTTTGCAATTGATTCTCGTAACCGTATGAAAACATTAATAAAGCAGTGGGCCTCAAAAAAACCACTGGTAACTATAATAGCAGTTGAATCCTCAGTCAACTCAAAGATACCAAGCGCTCTGATTTAACACAAAATCAGGTAAAGCTCACCTTTGATACCCGTGCTAATCCTTCAATTGCACAAAATACGAAATACACCAATCCTACGCCGGCAACCTGAACTAGTAAGTCTCAATTTATACAACTCTGGCAATACTGGCATGGTCAAGCATGATGAAAAAACTCAGTGGGTGAGAGCGACTTCTCAACCTCATACGGGGAAGGGGTAGTGGGATGTATATGAAAGAAGGCACATGCAACAACTCTAACACAAAGAGTCTCCCCTCCCAAATCCAAAATTCTTCAAACCACTGTCGGTTGCGGGTCTTTTTCAAGGAAACAAATTACGATCCTTTTCAGCAGATTTTGATAAATTCTCTGACTTTAAACATGGAGAAGAAATGACAACACTGAGGCTAAATGGAATGAACCAAGAAATACGGGAAGAGTGAGTGACTCCAATCTACGAATAATCCTACAACACCAAATATAACCCAGCAGAAGAAACTTCTAGCAGAACTACCTGACTGAGTGTATTACCGAGGCGAGGTTTCACGACACCGTAACCAACTGTGACAATAATCACTAGAACACGAGACATTGTTCGTTTTGCACAGGAAACCAACTCAGCGAGCTGAAAATTCCCGTATGATCACTGTATAAACTAGATAAATTAAATGATATTTCAATAAAATGAATTCAACACGATGACTGAAGAAATAAATGGGATGAACGCTTGCCTCAAGCACGCCTTCTACACTTCGACCACTGTTGTTCATTGTTGAATACTCAGCTAAGAAAAATGCTTTCTCAATCATTCCAAGTATTATTACAGCTCCTAAAGAATCAAGTCAATCATGGGAAACTCTTAACTGTTTAACATGAATACTCATCGAATTCTGAAACAAAGTACATACCTATCCAATATTGAATTCGTAAAATGTCTTTGTAGTATTTAATGCAAAGTACCATCCAGATGAAAGCTAACGTACCATAGAAGACACACATAAGTACATAGAACCTATAAATATTGCTTTTACTACTATACATCCCATATCAATTTATTTATGCAAGAAAAACCGCTAGAAAGCTTTCTGGGAATCAACAAATTTCTTTAGTTAGGAATATTCTGAAATCACAATTGGTTACGTCCACACAGCCGCGAAAAAAGTACAGAACACTTTGTAAATGCTGGCCATTTGAAATATGAACTGAAATTTATCTATAAACAGCTCTGTTCAGCTGAATATGGGAGAGTAGCGTCTACAGCCGAAGGAAAAGTCATGGCAGAAGATGCCGTAGGTAGAAGGACAAGAATAGCGGGTCTTGCGACGGCGCAGGATTAACGCTAGAGAGGAGAAGAAGAAAAGTGGTTTATAAAACGTAAGCAGCAATAATACAAACAAGGTGGTGGTTAGGTGTGCACACAGCTCACAAATTCTTTCATCAACCATTTGCCGCAAGATGAGCCAAAATCTAAGTGCACGAAGTAGTGCTATAGAATTAAAACAAAGAATGATTATTGAAGCTGAGATCATGCGCCTGGAACCGCATCTGTGCAAGGTCTTGGTCAATTAGTGTCTAAAACTGGCAGCGGAGTAAGATGGAGCATACGCATGAGAGAGAGGAAGAACATAGTATGTATTCACTCTGCCTTTCTCACCCGTTCGCTTTCAAGTGACAGTCAGACTTGTGCCGTGATCAAACAGGACCCAGGCGACAGGGGGGGGGGGGGGGGGGGGGGGGG